TATGTAGGAATTTATTCTTTTCAATCTGGAAATTAGTTTCATGAAATTAAAAGCATTACATGTTCTCTGGCTAATTTTCTTCATTATGGACTGCTATGGATATATCAAGTCTGGGAAGTAATAAGAGTAGATAAATAAAACAAATTAAGATAAGAGGCCATCTTCAGCTGTTATTTTTAGGGTTTGTTTTTCTGGGATACATAGCAAAAATGTAAAAAAAAATCTGGTAATGCTTAGTTTAATATAAGATTCAATTTGCATCATAATCTTTGTATATTAATCACCAATATGTCATTAATCAATATATTTACTGATTGGCCCTCTTTAAATGGTGTTTCATGTAATGATTAAATATGTAAACATGTTTCAAATACATATATTCAGCTATTTATATATGAAAGTGAAATCCCTACTACAATTGGTATTTAAGCTCATTAGATGTGATTTTTCTTTCCATCTTGCATTAGATATGCTAATATCTATGCCATCTATAGAACAATGTATATAAAAAAGTACTAGTAGATAAATAGTAGTCTGCTAGAAACAGACTCTCTAACATGTCATACTTCAAATCTGGTCACCACTTTTCTACATCTAAAAGAAATTCAGGCCCAGCCAGTGTGGCTCAGTGGATTGAGAACTAAGAGGTCCCGGTTTAATTCCTGGTCAGGGCACATGCCCAGGTTTCGGGTTTGATCCCCAGTAAGGGGCTTGCAGGAGGTACTTGATTGATGTTTCTCTCTCACATTGATGTTTCTATCTCTCTCTCACTTCCCCTACCTCTCTCTAAAAAAAAAAAAAAAAAAAAGAAAGAAATCAATAAAAACATATTTAAAAAAATAAGAAATTCAGTTGAATATAACAAACAACAAATATTGTTCTGGTGACTTGAGCCATCAAAATATTTTTCTAAAATCTGTATTTTCTTTCAAATTTTATAAAGTAGTTCTCCATCAAAACTATATATTAAAAGGAAAAACATATCTCTTTTGGTCCTCCGACCAACATGATCTATTAACACCACCAAATACCTTGTCTTACAAGTGCAGATTTTGAAACATTTTCACTTATCTCTTTTAAATCTAAAAGATAATCTACATCAGCTCTGTTATGAAAAATTGATTGAACTCTTAGTTAAGTAGCAAAAGAACTAGATTGTAAGAGAATCACAAAAGTTTCAAAGTGTTGATTTCATATTAGTTACAATTTTTTAGCAAAACTAGTCTACCGTTTTCTTTAACATAAGTGCCAAATACAGTCAAATCTCAGTTCTTGTCTCCCATCTCCAATAATTGGGTTCTCGACCAAGTTGTTCATGGAAAAATGTCTCAGTTGTTGAAAAAAACTTTGGTTCTTGATGCAACAATCCTTCTAGGCTCATACCGGTATGATCAGTCACATATCTTTCAGGCAACAAAGGAGAGGATGCGTGACTATGAGTCAGTTTACCACTAAACCTCACTTTCTTAACATTTCAGAAAATTTTGCTGTGAATATTTTCATTTTTTTGCTTTTGTTGCTGCTTATTATTATTAAATATATACAGTAAGTCACCATGGGTCCTAAGAAGATTAGTGATAGCAGCAAAGTGAAAAGAAAGGTTGTGAGAAAAACAGAGTTTAAAACAGAAATAATCTCAAAGTATGATAGATGTGTTAGGGTGTCTGATCTGACTACTGAGTCTGGCATGGTGAAATCAATGATTAGAACAATTTTAAAACAAAAAGACCACCAAGAGGGCTGGTGTTGCTAAGGGTATGAAAGTACTCATGAAACAACAATCACAGGCAATTTAGAAAGGTTAAAACAGGGAATCATTTGGGGGTCTGGAATGGATTTTTCAATTTACATTATTTCTAATGGGAAAAAATAATTCCAGTTTTTGAATAATTGCCTCTCCAACAGCCAACCTGAATGTATTAAGTTTGACAACCAAGATTCCACTGTAGTGCAATTCAAGTTAAATTGTATTTGCAGATGCAAAAATAAGTATTACTTAATATCCCCTATTGACAGCATGTGTAAGCCAGTATACAATGCTATTAGGTTTTTATTAGATTTTCAATACAGTCCCAGCATGGTTTAAGTTGCTAAGCTTATCAAATATTATAAAGTACTAAAAATGTACAATCACATTATATTAACTGTGGCAGTATATGTTTTGGTGTACAAATAAGTCTTCAGTCATTATCTAAATTCTCATTCTTAAAAACCAACTTTTCATTTCTATGACATTTTGGCATCAGATCCTATTAAAATTATAAAATAATAAGAGTTTTATATCTATATAATGGAGGTATATTTATATCAATATGAATCACAAAACACTAAATATAAGTGACACAATAAACTATAGTAATGGTTAGCAACTGAAATTGTTAAAAGGTATTTATAAACTTTTAATCACCCTTTTATAATAAAAATAACAAAATTGAGGACTTATTTTATTTATACACTTGGTACATGAGCAACAATTTCTCACTTTAGAGTCATTGCTACTATTTTCATATTATTGTGTGGAAAATTATATATATTTGGTTAAACAAAGTATTAAATTTTGCCTTCCAATATAACAAAACAAAAACAAAATATAAGCCCAGACATTCCCTTCCAGAAATATCCTGGTAACCATCAATAAAGAAACTTCTACTGGACTTAGCTTTGGACAACAAAGTACATCTACTTTGTCTAATTTGTTAAGAGACATAATAAAATAGAATTGGGACAATATATAGTCCCTTTCAGATATCAAAAACAGTTTACTCTTTCCTACCTTTGGTTTATGCTGCCAGCTACTAAAACTCCTTTGCTATACCAACAAGAAAGCAAACTTCCCAGTATGAAACCATAGTGAGGAAAAGCATTTCATTTGTTATCTTCTGTGACTTTTATGTAAAATTTTCTCTGTCATGTAAATGTTTGGAAAGGCTTTTATGGAATCAGATAATTTAATGAAAATACTCAAATCACTGCTGTTACTTGAGAAAGTAATAGTAGGTTGGGGAAGTAATAGACACAGGTTGGGGAAGTATATAATGGTAAGTAAGATGTCTCACTACTCACTACAGAATTACTGATTAGTTAAAACAAATCTAAGATGGATATAAAACTCATGCTGATTCAATATAACTCACTTGAAATCATGGCAGACATCTGTGCTTTGATAAAACACATGCCTGATTCCCAATTCTCCCTTCTTCCCACTCATTCCCCCAAAATAGGTTTGTTCCCAAGAAAATATATTCTTATCTCAAATCTTTCTAGGGACCATAAATTTAATCTAGTTTTCAGGTAATAATAAGTAGTTTTGCATTGTGTACATTAATACCCTATAATTCCTTATCATAGAAACTAAGCTTCAGAAGGCTATCATGTAAGACTTGGTTACTAACATATGCGAGTACACCTAAAAATTAAAACAGACAGCTAGGCCATACAAATTTTCAAGATAGTTTTGTTAAAGCAACAAGAAAGATCTTTACTTAAAAACAAAACAACAACAACAAAAAAAACTAAGCTTGCTTCATTAAACATGTATATAACATGACTTTTAAAGAAGCACTGCTTATCTTCCGACAGAACTGATAAATGTTTTGAAAGATATTTTATGTGACTCCAGATACCTTTCAGTGTTTTTAAAATACACCCTAAAAACTTTTCTTTCTTGGAGAGAATGTCATGTATATTTCTGTTAAGACTATATGAAAATGGTTACATTTTATAACAAAAAGTTACTTTAAAAGACATACATACTATTAGCTTCATAGGACAAACATAGTGAATAAGGACAACAAATTCCAGAATGTATTTTTATAACTGTAGCAACAGCAGTAACTTGGCAAATTCAATTTTTCTGACAATCTTGGAGGTTTTCTGCATTTATGACTTGGCTAAACTGCACAATGGCTGTCTAAGCCTGCTTTGTTTTATTCCATACCATTTTACTATGATTGCTTTTAAGAAAGAAATTTCACATCCTGCTCAGTTTGGCTCAACTGTTAGGGCCTCAGCCCCTGCACTGAAGGGCTGCGGGTTTGATTACTGGTCAAGAGCACATACCTTGGTTGCAGATTCAATCCCTAGCCCCGGTTAGGGTCATGTGGGATACAAACAATCAATGTGTCTCTCTCACATCGATGTTTCTCTCTCTCATTCCCTTCCTCCCTTCCATTCTATATAAAAAAAAAAAAAATCAATAAAAAAATATCCTCAGATGAGGATTAACAAAATAAGAAAGAAAAGAAATTTCTAATTTTAACTTGTTTGTGAATAAAATTCCATTAAAATCACAAACAGAAGTTTTATACAAAACTTTTTAAACCTAAGTATATACCAAATGTGGTTCCTACATAATTTTTTCAATAAGTGACCTTGTAAACACTTTTGAAATCTATGCTAATAGAAAATTATTTTTCTCTTTTAAGAAGATAAAGTAGCCCGACGAGCGTGGTCCAGTGGTTGAGCGTCGACCCATGCACCAAGAGTTGCTAGTTTGATTCCCAGTCAGGGCACATGCCTAGGTTGTAGGCAAAATCCCCAGTGAGGGCATACAAGAGGTGACCAATCGATGTTCTCTCTCATTCATTTTTTTTCTCTCTCTCTCCCCCTTCCTCTCTCTCTAAAATCAATAAAGAAAAAAATTTAAAAAAAGATAAAGTGAATTCTCTTTTTAAATTGAAGTATCTACATATGCAAATATAATAATTATCTGTATACATACAACTGAGTCTGCATTTCTGTTCTCATTATAAACATGCTTTAAGAACTTATATAAATATACTCATTGACCATGGACATAGACAATAAGGTTGTGAAATCCTGGGGCAGGGCAGGAACTGGGTGGAGGAAGGAAATTGGGGACAAGAAGGGGGGACATCTATAATAATCTTAACAATAAAGATTAAAAAAAGAAGAGGCGGAGAGAAAAAAATATATATATATGTATATATACTAACATGTTTTAAAGTAAGACCCCCCAAGAACAGGAATACTTTACCTACCTGCAGTGGTCTCTGTTTATCACTGTTCTTAGGAGTTTTTAATCCACTTGTTTGCTGCTGTAAGATAAGTTGTCTCGCTGCTTGGAGAGCCTAGAAATAAAAAGAGAAAAACATCTAAATATTTTGTTAAAGGTAAATTGATGATCAGTTATCCCTTAGTTAATAGTATTTAATGTATTAAAACCCCACCTAACCCTCCTTTCTAGAGAAAATCATTAAATATTCTGTTTTTTCTAATGTGAACAAAATTTACATAACACACATATACAAATTTACTTAAAATCACAGAGATGGAATTTATCTTGCAGCAAATAAACTTAATTTGTTTAAAGTACTTAAAAAGGAAAGAATCACAAACTGCATCAATAACCTCATTTCCACAAGGAAATTGTCTTTGAGTGTTCAACTAAAATGCCCACTCCCTTTTAAATTATCATTCAATTTGCATTTTCATATTACAATTTTGAAGCAAAGCAGTAGACTTCAAGTGTTACCGGAAGCTGTAATTAAATTTGACAAATCAACATCAGATTATCTTGAAAGTGAATTAATAAGAATTTTTGCTAAAGATTTAAAACACCTATTTTTGTAATTACAATTTGAGGAGAAACATCTCATTTGACAAAATATAGTGCAATTTTAATGCCAGACAAAATTGAGTGGATTTCATTTCAAAATCAGAGAAAAAAGAAATTACCACTCAACCAATCAGGTTGGTTTCTGTGTGTGACAAAATATCAATCAAAATAGACATTTTCATTTATTTTTATGGTTTCTTTCCCACTCACAAAAGTAAAACTTAACATAAGAAATTAATGTAAGCATTTCATTTACCAAAAGTGAGGCAGTTTGGCAATTACACTATAAAAACTTAGTGCCATAACAACAACAACAAAAAACCCACATATTGAGATATTTTAAAGGTAATGGTATAAACTAATTTAAAAGAAAAAGAAAAAAAAGAAACTTTTTCAGAGCCTCTACTGTACAAACTTATTTTTTCTCTCAAAAGCTGAATTCAATGGACACTAATAATGAAATTTTCTAACTCATGAAACTAAAATAAATTACTACCTTCCTTTGTTATTCACTGTTTTAAAATATATGATAAAGTTTTCCCAATAGGGAAAATATTTTATACCAATTTTCTTCTATAATAATTAAGATTCTAAGATGAAAAAAAGTACAATTTCTATTGGAATCAATGATCTGGTTTTCAAGAGAGTTCCTAGTATCCATGACAACAGTTGCTTTGACAAGATGTGCATATGGCATTACACTGCCAGCTGGTGTGAACAATGTTTGAACTACTGCATTGAGACGCTGAGCAAACAGAAAAAGTTGCCATGTCTTAACCCTCAGGGAAGGCAGTCATCCCCTGATCAATTATGAAAAGACAGAGAGGAGGGCTGCTACAGTCTGGCTCCAAGCAAGTTTTGAGAAGGCAGGCAGACATAGAAAACAAAGTAAATAAACTGAATGCACTAGCACCATCTCCTAACAACATTGGTTTGTCTTCCCTTAGCAGGATCTGGCATAGTTAGTAAAGCACATTTTTTGGAAACATACTCACTCAAAAAATCTTCACATTTTTTTTTTTTCTTTAAACTTTCAAGTTACTACAAGTCAACCTAAATGTTTCTAAGAATGGAACATTCCAGGGAACTCAGAAAATTTTATTATAAAGTTTAGTTTGAATAAAAGACCAAATAAAAATTAATTCCATAAGCACTTTACTATCAAAAAGCTCAGTATGAAAATTTCACTTCATAGTCCAAGTAATATAACTTTCTTTCCAAATCTCAACTTAAAAACTAACTACATGTAATATTTTTCAAATGGAAATTACTATAGTGTGACTTAGATAGACTGTGTCAAGGTGAAAGTCTCAAAAAAAGAAATCAGTCAACTATTTTCCCTTTTGGTGCCAAAATCCACACAAAGTTTACCTGATATTTTCATATAATTGTTTTCCCCTTTGAGTTCCTTAGTTTATTTTGCATATATTCAGCCTTATTTAGTTTACATTCAATCCTGTAGTCATTTACTATTTTTAAAGGATTCTAATGAGAATAGTTCAGAATCTTGAAGTGTAAATCATCCAATCAGACCCCCTCATATTAGCAAATGGAGAAAATGAGGCCTGTGCTTTGTTCACAGTCTCCAGGCTTCCAGGCTAGAGTGCATTCCAGTGTACCATGCTGTTTGTTCTGTCAAAGGAACTGTTAGATGGCAACGAGTAAACTTTTAGTAAAGAAGAACATATGACATGAGGGCATATCCATTTATCAGAAATTAAACAAGGAAACTACAATTAATCTTTTATGTTCTGAATTTGTGTTTGAATGGAACAACTATTACAGAACATGTGTCATGTTTATGGCTAAGTATTCCCACCATCCTTGAGTTAGATTTAATCATGTAGACTATGAACACCTGATAGAGATCTAAAGTTTTGTAACATAACAATCATTTGAGCAGTTATTAGTAATAAACTAAAAAATTCCAAAGCTGGAAAAAACAACTTTAGAAATTGTTTAGCCTAGTTTTCACATTTTGTAGACAAGTAATTAAAGAACCAGTACTAAAATAGCTTGATTAAAGTCACAAAGCAGTAACAGTACGGTCAAAAGTTCAGATTTTTGTCCCTCAAGCCTAAAACCCTATTCATTTCACCACCCCGCATTACATTCATTCAATTCAACCCAAACAAGTAACCTAATGAAATATGTAATGCCAAATGGTGATAGAAAGATACTAGAAAATTAGGTATACTGGAATTACAGCCCATGAAAATATCACTAGACAAATGCATACATGTACACTGTTGTTAAAGGAGTAATAATAATAACAATAATAATAATAAAAGAGCATAAGATAGTTGGCTAAAACATGCTTCTACTTTTAAAGTATGTAGTTTTCATATGCATTTACATTTATCTTTAAAACAGTCAAGGATAGTCCGGCCAGTGTGGCTCAGTGGTTAAGTGTTGACCCATGCACCAAGAGGTCACCTGTTCAATTCCCTGTCAGGGCACATGACCAGGTTGTGGGTCAAATCCCTAGTGGGGGGCATGCAGGAGGCAGCCATTTGATGTTTTCTGTCATCGATGTTTCTGTCTCTCTCTCCCTCTCCCTTTCTCTCTCTCTCAAAAATCAATAAAGATAAATAAATAAATAAATAAATAAATAAATAAATAAATAAATAAATAAATAAAATAGTCAAGGATAATCTTTCAATACAAACACTTATGAAAAAGAACACTTTGCCTATTTCAACGTTCTTTTTTGCAGCAGTAGAGACTGCTTGCTATAATAAACACGAGAGGTGGGAGAACAAAAACAATTCCAAGAGATCAGGAATGATTAAAAACTTCTAAGCATAAATTTTTTGCAGCTTGCAATCCTGCAGGCATCACATGACATTTTTTATTTTCAGTATTTTGGATAACATTTTAGGACTTAATTTCAGTAAACAATTGCTCAGACAAATTTAGTTCAACTTTGCAATTTATTATTGTAGCTACTCAAAAGATTAAAGAGTATTATCTAACATAATTCCATTAAAGTAAGGTGTTAGGTGTCAGATTGTATAAAATATTACTTTGAAAATCATTTGGCCACTTAAATTGGTATATAAAAAATTTTAATTCCAGAACCATTCATAAAGTTTTGTGAACTATTTAAGTGTTTCTATGATTACCCTCTGGGAAAAAAAAATTAATTTAGAACCAAGGCAAAAGACATTTGTTTACAAATCTTTGTCTAATATTGTTTGAGTCTCATTCAAGTAAATAACAAGAAAGAGGTTTCTAAGGCAGCCAAACCTATCTAGATTCCAAAGGCATATTTGTTGTAAATTAAGAGTGCATTTTACTTAATGAAGTTATCTAATTTTAGTAAAGCTAAAGAAAATTAAGATACAACCTTTTAAAAATTGGAATCAGATTAAATTAAATATTTTGAAAATAATAAAAGTCTTTTTAGTAGATTAAAGATATACCTTTCTTTTTTATTAGGCTGCAAAGGTATGAAAATGCACATGTTTTCCAGAATTCAGTACATTTTGCTCTAAAATATTTATTAAAAACATCATTCCTAATAGTTACTATGCAATTTCAAATAAAGCAAAACTTTTAAGAAAAGTAAAGTTCAAGCATATCACCTTTCTACAGTTGTAATAACTTTATGCTAGTTATAAACCTCATAGAAAAAAATAATTCTAATAAGTAGGTTAATATGAGAAATAAAAGTGAATAATCTTTGTCATCTGTCTGATCAATACTTTTTTTTCTTCTTGTGGAGCACTGAAAACTTTACCTTTTTTTGCTTTAAAAAACGGAAATAAAATTGTTTGAGACTAGCTTACATAAACCCAGTTAAACCAAAGATGTTGAGCACTTTACGGTTTATAAATAACTTATTTTTTCAAAGTAAATCTTTGTATTTTGGGAAAAAACAGACATCACTCATATCTCTCCCCATAAAAATAGGAATGCTTAACCTATCAGCCTGTTGCGTTTGAGACATTAAAATGAAAAATGACATCTACATCCATTAATATCTTCAATGTATAAACAGCACAGCATGACACATTCTTGAGAGCTGAAGGCCACAAAATCTCTCTGAAACATAAATAACAAAGCACTCAGAAGCACATTTGATGTTGATACTCATCTCTGAGAAAAACACTGCTGCCTAGGCTTCTTATGAAAATAGATGTAGCCCAAATGGATCTCCTGTAATTGGTTTCAGATAGTGAGGTTAGAAGAAATATGATACAAGAAATGATTATGTGGAACAGGAGAAACAGAATGTTTACATAGGCACTCCCTAGTCATACTGACAAGGGTGTATACTTTGCAGATAACCAGAACAACAACAACAAAAATTGTCAGCAGGACATCCAGAATTTTGCTCTTCATACTCACATATGACATATTTAACATGTTAAATACTTAATATAACATAAGTTTTCACACAGAGTTTTATTTTATAATTATTTTCACAAGTATGGTTGTTAAAAGTATATTCAGATCCTTCACAAAGGATATGAATTCCTATTCTGTTTGGTCTTTCCTCACATTATG